TGGAAGTTGCTTACAATGTACTTTCTGTTTACTTAGGTAATATATCCGTCTGAAGTCTTTAATGGAGTTGAAGAAATTATAGTGATAGTTATAGTTGTCCTTAGTTATGGTAAAAGATAAAGTATACATAAATATTGTAATTAACTCTTGCTTGATATATGTTATATGTACTTTACTATGTTAAAATTATAACCTTCCTTTTTATTTAAGTAGAAAAGGGGAGGTGTTATGGGAGTCCCCTCTGTGTGCTGTGATCACCATTAATGAATAAACTGCCTTGGCCTGCTTATAGGGCAGAATTTAGGTGTGCGGGGAAAACTGGACTGAATGCTGGGAGAAGGAAGGCAGAGAGTGAGATGCCATGGAGCTGCCAGAGCCAGACATGTCAAATCTTTGCCAGTAAGCCACTGCCATAAAGAAATATACAGATTAATAGAAATGGGTTAAATTAATATAAGAGTTATCAAATAAGAATCTAGAGCTAATGGGTCAAGCAGTGATTTAATGAATAAAGTTTCTGTGTGATTATTTTGGGGCTAATCGCTTGGGAATGACCAAATAGAAACATTCTGTACATATCTGATAGGTCCATGGGATTCATGCTGTCTTCTAGTTCCATTATTTCTCATTTAGTTTTTGTCTTGATGAGCTGTCCCATGGGATAATGGGGTATTGACATCTCCAACTATTCATATGTGAGGTTCTATGTATGATTTAGGCTTCAGTAACTTTTCTTTACAAATGTGGGTGCTCTTGAATTTAGTGCATAAAAGTTAAGAACTGAGTCATCACCTTGGTGAACTTTTCATCTGATGAGTATGAAGTGTTCTTTCCCATCTCTTTTCATTAATTTTGGTTGGAATTCTATTTTAGATATAAAATAGCTACATCAGCTTGATTCTTAGACTCACTAGCTTGGAAAATCTTTTTATAAACTTTTACTTTGAGGTAATGTCTATCTTTGATGTTGAGGTGTGTTTCCTGTATGCAGAAAGATGAATCTTGTTTTCAGGTCCATTCTGTTAGTCTGTGTCTTTTTATTGAGGAGTTGAGGCTAGTGATATTGAGAAATATCAATGACCAATGATTGTCAATTCTCATTATTTTGTTGGTAGCAGTGATGATGATGATGATGATGATGATGATGATGATGATGATGATGATGTGTGTGTGTGTGTGTGTGTGTGTGTGTTCCCTTCTTTTCATTTTGCTGGTGTGAGATTATTTATGTCCTGAGTTTTCATGGGTGTTGTTAGTCTCCTAGGGTTGGCATTTTTCTTCTATTATCTTCTGTAGGGATAGATTTGAAGATAGATAGTATTTAAATTTGACTTTTACATGGAATATCTTGTTTTCTCTGTTGTATGGAGACCATATGATTGTTTCCTGGCTGGCCAGCAGCTCAGATCTAAAATAATAACACAGAAACTATATTATTTAAATTACTGCTTGGCCTCTTAGCTCTATCTTATTATTGGCTAACTCTTACATCTTAATTTAACCCCTTTCTAGTAATCTGTGTATTGCCACGAGGCTGTGGCTTACAAGGTAAAGTTCTGGCATCTGTGTCTTATGGGACTACATGGCTTCTCTCTACTCAGCCTCCCTTCTCACAGCATTTAGCTTAGTTTCCCCACCTACCTCAGTTCTGCCATGCTCTTCTATAGGCTCAAGACAATTTCTTTATTAACCAATGGTATTCACAGCATACAGAGCGGAATCTCACATCATTTCTCCAAAAATGTTTATTGACAGTTTTGATGGACTGGCAGCTGTACATTTTAGAGTCTGAAAGGCATCTGCCTAGGTCCTTCTGGCCTTTAGAATCTCCATTAAAAATTCAGGTAAAATTCTAACAGGTTTGCTTTTATATTTTACTTGTCCTTTCCCCCTTGAAGCTTTTAATATTCTTCCTTTGTTACGCATTAATGTTTTAATTATTATGTAGTAGAGTAATTTTCTTTTCTGGTCCAATATATTTCATGTTCTGTAAGCGCAATGTACTTTTATAGACCTGTCCTCTTAAGGTTAGGAATATTTTCTTCTATAATTTTGAGCCTTTGTGCTGGGCATCTTCTCCCTCTTATATTCCTTCTACTCTTAGATTTGATCTTTTTCATAGTGTTCCAGATTTCCTGGATGTTTTGTGTCAGGAAAATTTTAGATTTAACATTTTCTTTGACTGATGTATCTATTTCTCACATCATATCTTCTACATCTGTGATTCTTTCTTCCATTTCTTATATTATGTTGGTGATGTTCACATTTGTAGTTCCTGTTCACTTACCTAGATTTTGAATATCCATGATTTTGTCAGTTTGTATTTCCTTTATTTTTTCTCCTTACATTTCCAGGTCTTGACCAGTTTTATTCATTTTCTTCACTTGTTTGGTTTTTTTTTTGGATTATCTTAGGGATTTATTCATTTCCTCAAATTGTCTGTTTTATTTTTATGGATTTCTTTAAAGGATTCATTCAATTCTTCTTTAAATACCTCTATTACCTTCACAAAGTTGGTCTTCATCTAATATTCAAATTCATGGGTTCCTGTAGTAGAATAACTAGGATATGGTGGTACCAGAGTGCCCTGGCTGTTGCTAATTGTCTTCTTACACTGACATCTGGACTTCTGATTTTGGGATGAATATGTCTAGGAGCCAGTTTTTGAGTTTGTCGTTGTTAGTTGAATGTTTTATTCCTTGGTTTCTGTTTCTTCTTTGGTCTTCTGGTCTTTTTGGTCTGTGTTTCTGGCAGCCAGTGTGATCGCTCATCCAGTAGGAACTTTCCATCAGAGTTGGGACCTGGATTTCTGACAACTAGCATAGCCTTTGATCCATCAGTGCTCTGTTCCTCTGAATGGCATGGTTTATTCTATCTGGTCCGGCCTGCACCTGAGCAGGGGGTGTCTGCCCATGTAATGGTGGGGTACAACAGCAATGATCAGTGGTAAGCAGCTTTTGACTCAGATCCTAAGCTGTGGGAGGAAGGTGGCTCTTAGCTGTTATGACTGGTGAGGCCTGCATCTCTGTTTTCATTACTTATAAACAATGTGATTAACATTGGGCACAAGTTAATGAAGAATAGATTAGAAAATGGCACTGTAATCATCCCAAAACATTACCACTTACAGTAAAAATCACAACTCTGTGGATTGGGTCACCTCCTATTGTAATAGTACCTTGTGGTGAATCAAAAGGAAGAGTCAGCCCTAAAAGGGATGACCTTCCCTTGTCCATTGTGTCTCCCATATAATGGTTCAGTTATTGATTCCTGGTTCTACCCAATTCCAAGCAGGTCTCAATTGCCAAAAGCATGGTGGAACTGAGTGTTTGTCTAGACAGATTACTGAGACCATGATTACTCATGTAGTCTCTTCATGACAAAATACATCATCCCCAAAACTAGAATAAAATCCTTTATTTTACATCCCAGTAAACATATTTCTTATTTCTTGAAAGGCGTAATCACTATCACCTTTAAAAAAAAAGACTTTATTTATTTTTATTTATTTATTTTTATTTTTATTTATTTTTATTAATTTTTTTAGATTTATTTATTATGTATACAACATTCTTCCTCCATGTATGTCCGCATGCCATAAGAGGACGCCAGATCTCTTTACAGAAGATTGTGAGCCACCATGTGTTTGCTGGGAATTGTACTCAGGACCTCTCAAAGAACAGCCAGTGCTCTTAACCACTGAGCCATCTTTCCAGCCCCAAGACTTTATTTATTTATGTGTCAGGGAAAGTATGTAAAGGTATATATGTGGGAGTTAGCTCTTTCCTTCCATCATGGAGGTTCTGGGAATTGAACTCAGGTCATCTAACTTAGCAGCAAGTGCCTTTACTCACTGAGCCATCTCAACAGCCCAGATTCATCATTTTACATCAACACACAAGATCGAAGATGTTTATAGTAGTGAGTTTGAATTCAGGAACACTTTTCCATATCTGTCTTGTCTTTGACCTTAGCTTTAGGGACATATTCAGCATGCAGCAATCTCCTAGAACCAAGCTCCACTTTACTCAAAACATTTATGTGCCTAGTCTCAGAATATGCTAATGTAATTGCAATTGATTTGTAATTAGGAAATAGAGCTTGTACGTTGATATAAGAATCTGGCTTGACCTCCAAGCAAGACATGCTGTTCACAGAATATCTGTGCTAGTATTCTCTGTGACTCTGGTGGATAGAGACAAGTGTCAGCACACTCCATAGTCATGTCTGCACACAGTCAAAACTATGAGCATTGTCCAAACCACAACAATGAACACACACCCCTCCACTTGGGCTAATGTAGGTAACTGCTGATCCCCATCAATTACAGTCACTCAAGCCTTTCCTGATTCTATGTAGCAGTTATTGAGACTCTGTATCAGTCAGTTCAAGTTGCCATAGCAAAGTACACAATGTCACAAATTATGTAACAGACACATTATACTGGTTCTGAGTTGCCAAAGTCCAAGGAGACTACTGTTATGTGCAACTTTTCCTGGGGAGTTTACCTACTCAACTCAGATAAGACCTGATAGGTTAAGGTAACCGTTTAACCCATTCCAACTTAGTCAACCACTGAATTTATTTGGGTTCCTTATATGAGAATGGGTGAGGTGTTATTAACAGAATCAGAGAATACTCAAAGGCAGCAGCATTACAGTTGGAAGGGAGGGCAGGGAAAGAAGCCCAGCATGGTGACTACTAACAGGAGTCACCTATTCTGGTTCCATGGAGCTTACTGGAGGACATATAGGCAGCATGCCTGGCCTGTGAGTGACTTCTCTCAGCCATAGCTTGCTGCTGCTATAATATTTAGAGGGTCCTAGGGATCTTGATGATTTCCTTGTTGATAGATAGGCATACAATCCTTGTTCACTTCTAGAGCCTCCATAGCAAAAAGGAGGGAGTGTTTGGAAGAAATTAGTATGTGGTGTCCCAGGCCTAGTTTGCATACAACTCTGTGCTCTCATGGACACTATATTGGATATAATTATCTTTATTTGCATTGACATGTGATAATTTTAGAACATTCCAATACATGCTGTTAAGTAAACTATGTTCAAATGAGAATTTTAATGACACACACATAATGTCACTTCACCCCGTGCCACAGGTGTCCATCCTTCAGGAGCTGGTGTTTATCAGAAGAAACCAGGCACTCAAATCTGTACAGGGAAGAAAATTGAGAGCTGCAATGTTTAAAAGATACACATGACAGAAAGGCAGATATGAGAGGGTGAATGACACAAAGGTGACCTGAGAGCAGAGGGCAGGGATGAGTTATCAGGGGAAACTATTAAAACACACTTTGATTGAAAATGCAAAACTAATATCTAGCATACTGTATGTTGACTTAAAAAATAAAGATGAGAAACACAAAAAAAACCTATCAACATAGGATGCAGGGTGTGTGTGGGAACTACCAGTGCTATTGTACTAAATGGTCATATTGTCATATGACCATAGTTTTTGCGTGTTGTTGTTAATGTCTTAATGTTCATTTTTACCTATGCAGGTGTTTTGCTTGTGCGCCATTACCTGCAGAGCATGACAGGTCAGAAGAGGGCATCCTAGGACTGGAGTTATAAATAGCTGTCAGCTATCATGGATGCTCGCAGCTACTGAGTCATCTCTCCATTCCCCAAATTACCTTCATAATATTGATTTTTTGCCCATACACATGGTCAGAGAAGCTGTTTTTGAAGTTGGTAATGGTAAATACAGAGACTCAAAGCTGGTCAAAGTGCTAAGAACAAGTGACTGTGAGTTCCCAACTGTGGATGGATCATCTGTATCAACCGCCCCAACCAAGACTCAGGGAACATGCTAGAAGAGTGAGTAGAAAGACCATAAAAGCCAGAGATTAGGGAGAAGAGTCATGAAAGGAGAGCTGTCTTCTGGACACGACACAGATGATGCACACATCAACTCATAGCAACTGTGATTGTCTGCACATAACCTGGACAAGTTCAGATCAGTCAAAATTCCAGTGTGTGTGGTCATGGAGGATCCTGAGGCCACAATCCAGCATGAGAAACTATTGGCAGTTGTTGTCTGCTGGGGGAGGGACTCTTACTTTCCATTGGAGGCATGGTTTTAGGTATATTACTCATTCCCCAGTAGATGGCCCCACACTAATTCATACCTGGTCAGCAGTGACTGGATTCAGAATACTGTTGACAATAACAGCAAGGGGGGACTTTGAGTTGACAGCAATCAAAGGATTAATAAAAATGTTTTTATGACCCACTGGTTTTAGCCAGGACCATCTGTGTGGTCACAGGTTTGAAACCATCTATTGTAGCCTGATGGCTTGAAATTTGGGACTTGAAAGACAATGAATGTCTCTTCCCTGGATTCCACCAGTAGCTAATGCAGTAGCCAGAGAAGAGGCCAAATGAGCCGCATCAGTATGCACAGTTAGCTGTGGAAAGGCCTAGTTCTGTGTAGTTCACTGAAGGAAGATGGAGCTTGCCAATGCCCAGTCTCTTCTGAAATGTTTCCTGAGCTTAGAAGGGGTGGTACAAATGTCCTGTTTACATCCCAACCCTCAACCAACATCTCAGTTAGTGACTACACAGACATTTGAAGCCTACCCGGAAATCACTTTTTTGCCTAATAAAAAGTTTTCTTGAGGATCTTTTCTTTGTCAGATGTCTTCCTGCTGCAAAGAAAAAAGACATTAATAATCAGAGAAGGAAATGAACAAAGCAATCTGAGAGTTTGTTAGAATAGGGCTTGAGGGTTTTTATACAGTGGGATTCACCTGCAGACTCCCTATCCTATTTTCCATACCCAACAAACCATACAAACAGGAAGAGAGTATGCTTACCTCTCACAGTTCCCAGAAATGGGGGATGAACTGCAATGGGATTTTGTCCCCTCAGTTTTCAACTTGATAACAAACTGCTGCGGGTCCCTAAAGGATTCAGAACAGCAGAGCTCAAAGCAGGGCCAGTAGGGGCAGTCAGTGGAGCCACAATAGCGGGTCTGATTAAGCGGTAGGATGTTGTCATCCACACAACACTGCTCCAAGGGGTTGTAGATCCTGTTCCCACACCTGGGTGCTGTCTGGCACAGCCATAAGCCAGTATCTGAGAGGGATGGGCTTGTGTGCTCTCCTGAAGCTCCCGAGTTTGCCAATAGGAGTACAAGAATGAGGATGATCCCTGAAAAATAAGTGAAATAGGCACCACAACTGATGAGCAGAGATGAAGGGCTTCAGTGGATGCCTTTGTGACTGACCGATGATGACTCACAGTGGACGTAGAGACTGACTCTGGGTGTGTATCAGGTCTTGGCTAAGAGAAGAGAAATGTAGGACACTAGAAAGAAGGGAGTTTCTGTAGTTTGCAAGTGGAAAGAAAGATTACCCTAGGAGACGTCAAGTGGATAGCTATGAGGGAGACCTTGGGGCTGAACTCAGGAAGGGGATTGATTTGAAGTTCAGAGGTACATTAGCACCACAATAACATTCAGACATGACTTTGGCTGGGGTCTTCTTCCAGAAGATTCCAGACCCTGTGATTCTGATCAAGATGCAGAGTAGGGAATGGCAGAGGGACCCAGAAGTGGGTTTGTGACTGGTTCTGCTATTACTGTACTGTAAGGCTTTGATCTCGACTGAGCTGAATACAGAAAGAACCCCAGAAATCCAGAAAGAGATTCTTTGTTGTGTATCAGAAAACAGCTGATTTAAACTAGCTGAACATGAGTGACAGTTGTATGGCTGGGGCAGACTGTGGAGTCACTGGCAGTGGCACCAGGATTTATCCCTACTGCTTGCACTACTGGATTTTTTGAAGTCATTCTCTTTGGATGATACCTTGCTCAGCCTAGATATAATATGGAGGACTTTGGTCCTTCCTCAAAGCAATGTACCTTACCCTCTCTGAGTGGATGAGGGGTAGGGGAAGGTAGAGGGAATGGGAGAAGGCGAGGTAGTGGGAACTGGTATTGGTGTGTAAAATAAAAAGAGCATTTTCTTTTTAAAAAATGAAATAAAAAATGAAACACAGAAAAAAGAAACAGCTGGTGTATCATTGTGCTTTGTGTGTAGGTGCAGGAGAGACTTGGGTGAATTTTCCTATTGGAGACTCCACAAGCATAAGTTTTAGAAAGACATTTGGCAGAATCATGTTTAAAATATGTTACTTTATTATTATTTTTATTAGTATGTCTGTGACATATATTCCTAGAGAGAGAGAGAGAGAGAGAGAGAGAGAGAGAGAGAGGAATCAGAGGGAAAGAGAGAGAGAGAGAGGAATAGAAAAAAGAGGGGGGGAAAGATGGAGGTGTACAAGGAAGTCAGTTGACATTGTGGAATCAGGTCTCTCCTTCCATCATTACCTGGGTGCTGTTGGTTGAACTCAGGTTGTTAAACTTTCTGGTAATCACTTTTATGTGGTAAGACACTCAACATCCTTATGCTTAAAAAACAGCGTATGTGCCCATTCATGTGTGTCAGTGTGTGACAGAGCATGCCAGGGTGTCCCTGTAGATTTCAGAGGACAATCTCTGGTGTTAGTACTCACTTCCTCTTTCGTTTGAGACAGAGTCTCTTCTCTTGTTCTCATGTCAGGCTGTTTGGCTCTTATGCTTCTAGGAGAGTCCCTTGTCTCCATTTCCAGTAACATCATGGGAGCACTGGGATTTGAGACTTTAGCTACAAGTTCTGGTTTTATCTGGGTTCTAGCAATTTTTACTCTGACCCTCATGCTTGTACAGCAAACATTTACCCCATTGAACCTTCCCCTCAGCCTCAGAGTCACACTGTTAAATGTTTCAGACTACAATTTTGTTGAATCTAGAACCGAAGTGGAGGCACATTGGTAAGTTAACTGAAGTTTAGGTTTCTCCAGCCCAATTCTTCCCAGGATCCCAGAGGCCTCTGCTGTGCTCAGAGGTGGCAGGATCCACCCATAGCAGTGTTGAACAATGGCTCATCAGAAGTTTAAGAGCATATGCACATCAACAGTCCTAGAGTTTGATTTTCTGTTGCGGGAACAAATGCCCAAGGCTCAGTATTTTAACAATTAAACAGCAAATTCTGATTCATGGCTATGTGGCTGGCCCGGAGTCTTTCTGAAAAGCCATTTACAATGGCACTGGGACTTGTTTCTTCTTCATATACTGGATTTTGCAGATCCAGTCCGTCTGGACACTCACCTTCCTGGACCTGGAGGGAGGGGGGAGGAACTTGAACTCCCCACAGGGCAGGAAACCCTGACTGCTCTTAGGGATGGAGAGGGAGGAGGAGAGGGAGTGGGGAGAGTGGGAGGGTGTTGGGAAGAGGGGCAGAAATGGAAACTTTTATAATTTAATAAAATTACAAAAAATTAGATGGTAGAAAAATCACACATAATACAGAAGCCCTTGGATGAGACTGTGTGTTGTTTTAAACTCTGGGTTGGATAAAGAGCAAATCTGTAGACTGGAAGGAGAGAACATGAGAGGAACCTTCTTCTTTACCAAATACGGTCAATGTGACTACTCAGAATGAGAGCTTCCTCACTGATACCAGACCTGACATTGACATCACATCTTTCAGAACTGCTCTTCTCTCATGCTATGGAGTATCTTATAGACCCTGCTTGATTCACTCCAGCACTGGTTGGTTATAATTTTATGACATAAACATTTGGAGGACATACTCAAAATCATAAAAGAAGTCAAAAACTCTCAAAGTGAAAAATAATCCCTATCAGATTCTGGGTGACCTGCAATGGTCATCCTAAAGTATTCTAAGGGGTTAGGGAGATAGTTCAAGAGATTTGAACACTTGCTTTACAAGCAGAAGGACATGAATTTGAATCCCCCCATCTATGTACAACAAACAAACAAAAAGCCTGCATAACCCTGCACATCTGTAACTCTAGAATGAGGAGCAGGGACTTGAGTATCTAACCAGCTTGTTGGTCAACGAACATAAGCAAAACAGTGAACTTTAGGTTCAGTTAAAGATCTTGTCACAGGCAACAAGGTGGAAGGCAACAGATAAAGACACCATGCATCTTGCTCTCACATCTGTGTGAGTTCCTGTGGGCATCTCACACTCACATAACTGATAAACATGTGTTGCACACAAAACAGCATCAACAACAGTAAGAAAAGCTGTCAGAGATAAAATAATCTAGATGAAGTTAGAGCTGACCATGGGTGACTTGTGTGGTATTCCTGTAGAACGAGAGACTAGAGGAGTGTGAGAGGAGTGAGGGAGAGGCAAATAACTGAGAAGGGCTGTCACATGGTCACATAGAGGTGGAATTCCAGGGCACAATACAGTTAGACTTCATCCTTGCTCCCTTCCCTTCAAGCCTGCCCATTAGTAGTACCCTCACTTGAGCACAGATGTTGATAAAAAAGGTAAGCAGTCAGGCTTCAAGTGTAGGACTTTGAACTTCATAATCCTCTGTTTCTGAGAGGCCCAAGACCCCAGGCCTCAGTGCTGGATACACAGCTGAGAGATGCAGCTGGAGCCATAGAGATGAGTGCTAACTCCAGGATGGAGGTGACATCCTAGTCATAGCACAATTTCAAAGGTGTATCTCTGCTTCTCTACCACAGGAAGGTTTGGGTAAGTTAATATGCAGATATCTGGAGGAATCGTGGCTTGGTGGACTCCGAGACTCTTCCCCTCCAAAGTCAGAGTACTCCATCTCCTCCCTCCTCACTGCACCTATCCTCACAAGTGACTCCTTAGACTGAGCACAGAAGTACAAAAATGAGAAGCAGAAAGGGAGTGGGACTGATCCTGGGGGAGACACCAGATGGCCATAATCAGGGCCATAAGGTCACATCTCTGAACTTCTTTGGTCTGGTCTAAGTGCTAATATTAGACTTCAAGTCTGTCATGGGGATGTTTGGTTTTGACAGAAAATTTGTGAGGAGGGGCTGGGAAGAGGAAAAGATCAGAAGTTTTTAGGCAGAACCATTGAACCACAGCCAGAGATGCTAAGAAGTTTGATGACATAGGGAATCAAGAATAAAGTAAGGGAAGGAGGATTATATAAAGTTCAGAGGCAGCCAGGCAAAATGGCTCATGCCTTTAATTCCAGGACCCATGGGGATGAGGCAGGGGAATCTCTGAATTCAAAGAATGCAAA